CTGATCATTTTTAAATGATACTTAAAAAAAGAATTCTAATATTATTTTAATTATAAGCATATCACCTAACTAGGTAGGGTCTGACATCTGGAAAAACATCAATCGACAAATAACTTAGCTTGTTCATACTGTAATTCTTTTTCTTGACTCATTTATTAATTTTGGTATTTGGGCCACACTCAGCAATGCTCAGGTCTTACTCCTGGCTCTGTGCTCAGGGGATCACATGGGGTACCAGGGATTGAACCTGGGTTGGCAGCATGCAAGCAAGCACTCTACCCTCCAAAGTATCTCTACAGCCCCTTATACATTCATTCCATATGCTATTTCTTCAAATTTTGCTTGGAACTTTAGGTCACTCTAAGAAATGAATAAGTTGACGTGATCTGGGTTTCTGACAGAAGAAGCTGTACATGGCAACATCCTTTATCAAAAGCATCAAGATAAAATAACTCGCTTTGGAAGTGAAAATATAAACCCAAAGCAAAACTTAAAATTTGACTCAGAACAGAAAAGAGAGTATATTAAAGAATTAAAGATTTTGCTTTTGTCTGGGTTTTTGTTGTTGCTGGTGGTGTTGTTTTGCAGTGCCTGGGCCCCATCCATGCAAGATATGTGCCCCACAGCTAATCCAATTGCCTTGCCAAACTTTACTAGTGGCAGGGTCCTTGGCCTGCATGTTCGAGACCCTGGCTCATTTCCTAGTACCACATGCCCCCCCCCACACACACAAATCAAACTTGAGATACTAAAATAAAAAAATGCTTTAAACTTACAACAAAAATTAGCCAATGGAAATGTCTTCCACTTTCACTAATCAAGAAATGTCCCATCAATTATATATTTTTCAAGAAACCGTCACAAATGTGCATAGCTAGAAGTAACCTATTTAAAACGGAAGATTATTCTAGACCATGTGATAAGTCTATTAGAGGCAATACCTGAACATTTTAATTTGTCTAGTCTATTGGGCAAACCACAGAAGTAGAATTTCTTTCAGAGAGCTGTCTTGCAAAATTAGCTCTATTCCATTCTACTCTTTACCAAGAAAGAAGTTTAGCTTTATAGCTAATAATAGTAGTAGTACAAATACCAATAGTTCCTCAGGAAAGCCTGTGTGTTCCACTGCCATAGACAAATCAATCCCTTATGTAAGGAGAATGTGGGTCCGATTGCTGAAAACTCTTAGGACAAGCACTAAAGGGACACAGGAATTAAAGTTCTTAAATTTTAAAGAGAAAGAAGAAAGTCTTCTAATTTTGAATATTTTAAAAACATCTAAATTAAATATCATAATTCACTTTTAAAATCCAAAATAACTAAAATAGTCACGGAAATGCATTCAAGTATAGCTGGCTGGAAAGATATTTAATGCGGAGTTTCTTCAAATAGTGAAAACTGGAAATGGACTGTCTTAAGACAGGGGATTACTTATGGCGGACGGCAATCACAGCAGAAAATCGTGAAAGAACCTGCATCAGAGTGTGCCAGTGACATATACAGATGTTGATACTGGGAACTTTTTTTTAAAGTTAAGAATAGCATGTAAAGAGTGAACCCAGTTCTGTTTTGTCTGCAGGGTATGGGGTCCCAGAGATCAAACTGGGCCTCAGGACATCATATGCACAGAACATGCTCCCTACCACTCAGCTACAACCCCAGGCCTGAATCAGATTTGAAAATAAATAAATAAATAAACCTTTCTAGATTTTCGGGGGAATCACACTCAGGCCTTACTCCTGGTTCTGCACTCCTGGCAGGAACTGGGGGACCATTTGGGGTGCCAGGGATCAAACCCAGGTCAGTCTCGTGTAAGGCAAGAACCCTACCTGCTATATTATCACTCTAACCTGGAAGAAAAACCCCCCCAAACCAAAAATTTTCTAAATGTGTGACTTCAGGAAAGTGACCTCATTTCTATAAATCAGTTTTCTCCTCCACAAAACAGAAAATAATACAATACCTATCACATAGGATTAGAGTGAGGATAACGAAAGATTCTACATAAAACAGCAACTGGCACATTACCTGGCCCAAGAAAAGTAATACATGTTAACTCTTTTTGTTGTAAGTGAAATTTTTTTGAGATCATAAAGTTATATTCTGAGAGGTAGCTGATCTGTCTAACCTGAACTTCTACAAGTAACATATTACTTATAACAAAATAAAAATTAATAAGTCAGACTATTTGTCCATAAATTATTCTCTTAAAAATGTGGGGGCCGGGACTGGAGAGATAGCACAGCGGGTAGGGTGTTTGCCTTGCACGCAGCTGACCCGGGTTTGATTCCCAGCATCCCATATGGTCCCCTGAGAACCGCCAGGAGTAACTCCTGAGTGCAGAGCCAGGAGTAACCCCTGTGCATCACCGGGTGTGACCCAAAAAGAAAAAAAGGTAGGGGCTGATGAGATAGTGAGAGAGTGGGTGTTTGCTTTGCTGTGGCTGATCCGGGTCACCCCAGCACCCATGGTTTCCTGCACGCCTCTAGGAGTAAACCCTGAGGGCATAAGCCAGGTGTGTCTCCAAAGTGAAAAGAACAGCAACAAAAATGTACCGTAGTCTTTGGTGACTGAAAATAAACCTTGGTTGAGATGAACTTACCCTTTAGAGTTAATTTAAACAAAGCTGCTCTGAAACATTCAAGCGAAGGTCTAAGTCAGCCTACAACATTCTTATTGTAGATTCCTACAACTGAGCTGGGTAAGAATGGCTGAGCCACAACCCAAGACCCTTTAGGAAGCAACTAGCTTTGGAAAAATCAGTGGAAAGTGGCCTAAGGTAATCTGATCATTTTTGGTTTCCTGAAAGCTCCCTATCCACTGCTTTTTACACTCTTATACTCTGAGCCTATAGACTTTCTCCACCGGAGTGTTTGCCTGGGGCAAACGCTGTCTTTTAGTGTGAGAGCATCCAGCATAGCCACTGGAATACAGTAGTCACTCACTAAATAAACCATCAATAGTTCAACAAATTAGATAGATCTTTTAAGTTAGATCAGGATAGAGGTTGACCATCACCCCAGAGGAGAATCATGTCAAAATGAATAGGCAACTCTTAGGGCTGAACAGATAGCACTTGGGTCGGTCATTTGCCTTGCATGTGGTCCAGGTTTGCTCCCTGGCATCTCAATGGTCCCCCAAGCACTACTAGGAGTTGAGTACCAAATACAGAGACAGGAGTGGCCTCAGAGACAGGAGTGACCTCTGAGCACTGCTGAGTATGACTCCCCTCCAATAAAAATTAAACAAAATAAAAGCAAACAAGCCTCTCACTTCGAAGTATCACATCTTGGGGCTCAGCGACAATACAGCAAGTAAGACACTTGCCTTGCACCTGGTCAACCTGGGCTCGAGCTGCCACATCCCATATAGTCCCCTCAGCCCGAATCATTCCTGGTGGGGCTGAGCCAGGAGTAAATCCTGAGCACCTGTGTGTGGGGCCCAAAAAACAAAAACAAAGTATAACTTTTTGAGCAGGTAGATAACTAGTTTGCCTACAATGACCTCAGTTCAACGCCCACCAGGAGTGGCCCCTGAGCACAGAGCCAAGAATAAGCCTGCTGAGTGGGTCTCAAAACTAAAACAAAGAAACAGAATACAAACCAAAACTATCGCTTCCTTTAAAACCACAAGTCAACCCTGGTTCAATCTCTAGTACCCCATGTGCTCCTCTGAGCCCTGCCAGGAGAGATCCCTGGGCATAGCCGGATGCAGCCCCCAAAACAAGCAGATTGAAAGTTCTCGTTTGTATGTTAACTCCCTAGGGGTCTCCCTATACTTTGTTTCATTCCCACAAGAATCCAGCCAGTAACCGGCGAGAATGTCCCTGGCTCCTGGTTTCAGGTTGACCAGGTCCTGCTGCCCATGATCTCCCAGATCACCTCGTGGAAAACCTCCCCCAACCTTTGACCCTAAACAAGGTTGTTATGGATAAGACAACAACAAATATGAAACAAACTGCAAGCACAACTGTAGATAAAGTACACCGCAAAGACAATGAACAGAACCGACAGAGCCAAGCCCACTATGCTTCCCAATATTTCCTAGGGCTTTTATAAAATTCCAGAGGAGAAAAAGTGACCAGGGGCAGCGGCTCCGAGGCGGCCAGTTCTACCTGGCAGGTTCATAAGTCAACCAGCTTAACTTCAAAAATGAAACCAAAGAAACCAAATTAAACATTAACTTCTCTTAAAAAAAAATAAGAAGAAGAAGATGAAAAAGAAGAAGAAAACAACAACAACATTTCAGCCAAGAGACTTTCCTGAAGTCAGACTAACAACAATCCAGGGAAAGACTGACCACAGGGAAACCTGGCCTGGTCTTGAAGGCGAGGCGGAGGGGGAGCGTCTGCCGCACACTTGGTCTTCCTGGACCTCCGGATCTGTCACCTGTCATATGGGGCCCCTGCTCTGTTTACCCGGAGCGTGTTGCCCTATGCCTGCGGGGTCCCACTGATACGTCCCCTTCGCGGCGGGCATCACCAGGCGTTCGTTCACCCTGCAGGTGGGCGCAGCCCCGGGCTCCCACGAGGCCAGCTGGGACACACACTTGCTCAGGGACACGCGAACGCTCGAGCTAGTCCGGGCTCCCGTCCGCGTTCCCCAGCGCACCCGCCGCGCACGCACAGTGCCACCCGGACCGCCGACCGTGGGCCCGAGAACCCACCCCCCCGCCCCCCGACCGCGACTGGGCGCCCAGGAAAAGTTCGGCTTGCCGCGGAGATCGCGCCCGAAGGTGGCAGCGCGCCGACGCCGCGACAGCTCCGTGGGAAAAGGGTTTTCGGGTCATCCCGGCGCGGACCGGGGGAGCCAGCGCGCGGGGCCGGCGGCGGGGCCCCCGCGCGCGCTCGCGGGACCCCGGGTTCGGCCGGGGACGGCCCCCGCGCGTCTCTGGACGCCCCTCCCCGGCCTCCCGCAGGGCGCCGTCCCCGGCCCCGGCGCCGTCCCCGCCCCGGCCCCGCGACAGCCCGCCGCGTCCCCTAGCAGCCCGCGCCCACTTACCCGGAGCGGGTCCGAATGAATGAGGCGCGCAGAGCGCCGGGCGCCGCACACGCATCCCGGGGCCGGCGGGTAGGGATGCGGCGGGCCGGGGCGGGGCGGGCGCCGGACCCGAGCCACGTCCGCCGCGCTCCACCTTCCCGCCGCGCCCCGCCCGCCCCGCGCCCGCTGCGGCGGCCGAGGGCGGGTCCGCGCGCCTGACATCACTCCCGCCCGCACGCCGTGACTCACCGCCGCCCGGCCCCAACTTCTCGGGGGCCGCGCCCGGAAACTTGCCAGGGCCGGGCCGGGACCCTCACCCCCACGCCGCCCCCGCCACCCCTCGGACCCCCAGCGCCCCGCCGCGGGCCCGCTTGGCCCGGGAGAAGAGAGCGTCACCCCAAGAAACGGCGCCCCGAAGCCGGCCCCTCCCGGGGAAGGCTCCTGGTGGGGGTGCTCCCCGGGTGGGTGTCTAGCTCCCAGGGTGGGCGTGCTCCAGCGGGGTGACCCCCTGGAACAGGCGCGACGCCGCGTTGCGGGGCTCTGCCATTCATGCATCTGCTGGGCAGTTTCCGAAGTGGACGAGGGGTAACCTCAGAGGCTGACCAGGATGAATCAGGGGGAACTGGGCCAAATACGTATTGAACTTCATCGACAGAGATGTTTCAGGTGCCTTTCTACTTCCGGACAGGGTAATTGCGTTTAGCATTTGCACTGGTTTCTGGGTGATTCTATAGCATCAAGAAAAACCATGCTGGGGGCGGAGCTATGGGACAAGCGTTTTGCCTTGCTCGAGGCCGATGGGTTCAAACCCTGGCATCCCTGACGGCTCCTCAAGCCCGTCAGCAGTGACTCCTGAGCGCAAAGCAAGGAATATGTCCTGGCACTGTCGAGTGTGTCACCCGAACCAATCCACCTCCCGACCCCCCACCCCCAAAAAAAAAGAAAGGAAAAAATATCCAGTGGTATCTTTGAATGTCACCTATAGATCCTGGAGGCAGAACAATCATTTGTCTATGATAATTAAGCTCTACCTGTGATAACAAAAAATACACGGGAAAGAACAAACACGCAGGGCAGCGGAAACAGTTGTAAGGTGTGGTCACTTCAAAGTTTCCCCAAACAAAAATGCATCTGAAATTAATCAAAGACCTAACACTGTTGTCTGGAAAACACACTCTTTCAGAGGTCAGAGAAAAGTAAGAATCCCAACCAGAACACCAATTGGAATTTATTTTCCTTGGGTTTATTTTTTCCTTTTCAGTAGGAGTTCCTATTCAATTTTACAAACCCAGGCATTTTGCCCAGAAGGCAAGAGCAAATGGAATGGTTTGCTGGGATGCAGTCAAAGTAAATGGAAATCCAAACCGACCATTTCAGACCCCACAGATCTGAGTAAAAGGTTGGGTGTCTCGAGCACAGGTAAGAGAGCAACCAGGCATGAATGGCAAGTTGGGTGGATGGTCCCCTTCCTCCCTACTCTATGACCAAATACACGGGCATCGTGGAAGCAGCTCCAAGTAAGGGGCCATACCTGACAGTGCCCAGGGGCTACTTTTGGGGGTACTCAGGGCACCATACCCGAGCGCTGGGAATCAGATGGGGTTGGCCACATGCAAGACAAACACCCTAATCCCTGAACTGTTTCTTCAGCCCCTATAAAGGAAGATTTTAAACAATGACTCTCCAATGATGTGGGCTTCAGGGTATATGTACATGGTTGAAGTAAAAGGCTCAAAACCAAGCCTGCCAGGCTTCTCATTCATGCCGGGAAAGTGGTTGTCTGGGCAAGACATTGTTTAATGGGTCATTTTGAAATTGTAGTTACTATTATGCCTTAGTTTAAATGTTGTAAAAGGAATAATTAGGTTATTTTTTATTAAACCACTTAAATGCCCTCCAGTAAATGTCATAGTCTAATGGGAGTTAAATTGGATGAAGAGTCTCTATTCTACACAACATATGAGAAAACAAATGTCATTGGAATTTCTGTTTTGAAAAATAGTTACTTTTTATCTCACAGAGGATATTTCTATTCTTCCTTTCTTTTAATCACTTTCCCTCCCTCCCCCCTTTTCTTTCTTTTATCCTTCTTATCTTCCCCTTTCCCTTCTTCCTTCCTTCCTTCCTTCCTTCCTTCCTTCCTTCCTTTCTTCCCTCCCTACCTCCCTCCCTTCTTTCCTTCCTCCCTTCCTCCCTTCCTCCCTTCCTTCCTTCCTTCCTTCCTTCCTTCCTTCCTTCCTTCCTTCCTTCCTCCCTTCCTTCCTTCCTTCCTTCCTTCCTTCCTTCCTTCCTTCCTTCCTTCCATCTCTTCTTGTTCTTACAATGTTTCAAAGTTTATCCAGTTCCTGACTGGTTCGTGTTCCAAAAATACTAAAGTACCAAATGCGCTAAAGTCCAATAGGTGTGTTCTTGGCCATTTCTTTTCCTAAACCGGTTTTACAGTTCTTTCTTTGGTGTGATAACCATACTAATTAAGTCAGGAAACATAAATCTAAACTATTCTCATAGTAACTCTTGCTCTGGGCAAACTGAGTTACTTGACTTGCAGGCAACTGTTTCCTTTGGGGGAGGGCATGGGGGCGGTGCTTGGGAATAACACTGTCAATATTGAGTTTGCACCTTGTGCCTGCCCGTATCCTTTTCATCATGTGCATCCTCTAAATAATGACTTAGCACAGGGAGAACGTGCTTTTCTTTTACAGAAGTTGCATAAGGATATGATTGCAGCATTGTTTATCGTTTCCCCAGGAGCCAATGGGATGCCTATCATGTAATTACTGAGAGTGAAATAAAGAAGTGGATAGATAGGATCTGGGAGTGTGGCCCCCAGGAAAAGCCCCTCCCTGCATGCATGAGACCTGGAGTTTGATCACTGGGATCCAACATTCCTGGTGTGATCCCCATCACGGCCCCAGGGACTCGGACCTCAAGGCGACCAAGTGTGCAAGCACCAAAACCGAGTCTGTGAGACCCCTGATCACCACAAAAAATAACAACAAACTGACACGAGCCACATCAACAGGCCCAGCTCCACCTCCTGAGACTCTGCTTGGCCCCCATTCCTCCAGGCCCCGCGCTACCCCTCCTGAGCTACGGGGCTGCATCAAACCCCATACTGCTTCTAGTTACACTTCCTGTTGCTGGGTGAAGACGGGCAGGGAAGGAAAAGAGCAGCTCCCAGCCTAACCCCTCGGAGACTCCCGGGGGGCCTAACTACAAAGACTGGACCTCAGCACAGCAAGAGCACAGTAAAACCAAGAGGGAAGACCAAGTTCAGTTAGTGGAAACAATAAAACTCAATAGGCTCAATGAGCACTAATCAGCTCTGTAAATTCTCAGAGAACAATGTTAGTGGCACCATGGTGGTGATGCTTAATGACTGCAAAGAAACAATGGCACAGATAGCCAGCAAAGCACAAGAAAGTATGAGAGGGGCTGGAGGAGGTAGGGCATTTGCCTTGTACCTGTCCCATCTGGGTTTGAACTCCAGCATCCCATATGATCCCCTGAGCACCTCCAGGAGTAGTTCCTGAGAACAGAGCTGGGAGTAACTACTGAGCATCACAGGGTGTGCCCCCCACCAAAAAGGAGAGAGGGAGAGAAAGAAAGATATGTGAGCCAAAATGAGAAAACTACAAGCAGAAATGACAGAAATGAAGAGTATAATATGTGATATTTAAAGACTCAATAGAAGCTAAGAGCTGCAGAATAACAGCAGCTAAGAAAAAGATGAGCTCCAAGATAAAATGAAGGAAACCTCTAGAAAACAATAGCTCAAAAAATTTTTAAAGGCTGAAATAAAATGAACAGTACCCCAGAGAACTATGATTGAGTTCACGAGAAACAATATAAGAATTATTTGAGTCTCTAAGAAACAGAAAGGTGAATTCAATGACAAATTACTAAAGAAATCATAGAAATTTTCCAAGTTGAGAATACAAACACGCAAATCTAAGAGACTCAAAGGATTCCAGTAAAAACAGATTCAAATAGAAAAACTCCAAGATACATTGTACTCAAAATTCTGAAAGCCAAAGTCAAGATACAGAATATTGAAAAGCAGCAAGATTTTTAAAAGGAACTTACAAAGGAAAGTATATAAGATTCACAGCAGATCTATCAAATGAGACTCTGAGCCAGAAGAGAATGGAGACATATAGTACAAAAACTCAATGAAATTAATGTGCCACTAGGAATACTCCCTTCAGCTAGTCAGATCTGAAGGAAGGATGCAAAACTTGAAGTACAGACAAGAATTTAGGGAATCCATAGCCTTTAACCAATTTTGAAAAAAGGGTCAAAGGAATTTCTTTAAAAGACAAGATAAAACATCTAATCTTCGATAAGGGGGCAAGAAAAGTGAAGTGGAGCAGGGAAAGCCTCTTTAACAAATTATGCTGGCAAAACTGGATGGCTACATGCAAAAAAATGGGCTCAGATCTCTGCCTAACTCGATGTATAAAAGTAAGATCTAAGTGGATTAAAGACCTCAACATCAGACCGGAATCTATAAGATACATTGAGGAAAATGTTGGCAAAACCCTTCATGACATAGAAGCTAATAGTGTCTTCAAAGATGTCACACCGCTGGCCAAACAAGTGAAAACAGAGATAGACAAATGGGACTATCTTAAACTAAGAAGCTTATGCACCTCAAAAGAAATAGTGACCAAAATACAAAGACAGTCTACAGAATGGGAAAGGATATTTGCCAACTACACATCTGATAAGGGGTTAATTTCAAGGATATACAAAATACTGGTTCAACTCCACAAAAAGAAAACATTCAACCCCATCAAAAAATGGGGAGATGAAATGAATAGAAACTTTGACAAAGAAGAAATCCGAATGGCTAAAGGACACATGAGAAAATGTTCCACATCATCAGGGAGATGCAGATCAAAACCACAATGAGATATCACCTCACACCACAGAGACTGGCCCATGTCCACAAGAACAAAAGCAACTGGTGCTGGCGCGGATGTGGTGAGAAAGGGACACTCCTTCACTGTTGGTGGGAATGCTGACTGGTTCAGCCCTTTTGGAAAACAGTATGGATGATTCTCAAAAAACTAGAAATTGAGCTCCCATTTGACCCAGCAATACCACTCCTGGGAATATATCCCAGAGAGGCAAAAAAGTATAGTCAAAGTG